ATTATGAACCATGGTCGTATATGAGTTAAGCGTACAGTAATTTCAGTTATCATAGTTTACACCAGTTTTTAGATGTGAAACACATTACTGGAACGAGAAATGCCGTGAAAATGCGGTAAACGTACTTACGCGTATTTATTATCATCAGCTGCTAGTGATTTCGACAACGAATCGTACCACTGGAACACGTTTATCAATACCTTTTTGGCTGTATGAAGGACCAAAGTATCAAAAAAAATGGATACTTACGGGATAAAAGTTTCGTAAAATTGTCTCACTACAGTGCTAGATAATGCGGAAAGAAGGTGAGCAATTCCAAAATTTAGGCCCTATATATGCATCATACTGTTCGCCTTAAGACTTTTTCGTATGTTTTGGGCCTCGTTTCGCATGTGGTTCAAAAAATGTACTCGAAAGCAATATTAATACACTTACATCTCTCGTACACAGACCTCTCTTAATAAGATTGCAGAGCGTGCAAAAGGTCTATACTGTTAACAGTTTATAAGTTCCCTAATTAGTGAATGTCTTTCTATGCACCCCCAACTTCCTGCTAATTGAGGAGACGTCTTCCTAGCACAATCACACGAAAAAATTCAGCCGCGTACTTGTTGGCTTTTCTCAGACTGATAAGCCGCGATTAGCCTGTAAAAGGGGGCTCGTTGATCAGTTCCCATTGTCGCCAATACTCTTCACAGTTAATTCATAAGAAAGGCAGAATAATAAAATGCATAAGTGAAAAATATTAACGCATGGAATATTTTGTTCATGTCCGAAACTCACACAGACTCACGGGTTCGTGGTCATTGATAATCACCGCAAAACTTACGACGCGGAAAGTCTCTTAGCCGTACAAAAGACAATCGACCACGGTTATAATAGCCAAATGTTAAATTTGAAATCATCACAGAACAACGTAAAGCACGCATTACAAAACCACAATATATCAAACACAGCAGCAGCTACCCGTGTGCTATCAAACATTCAACTGACCGCCTCAATTCCAGCCAGTGGATGGCGCAGGAGATTGAGGTGAATCCAAGGGGCAATAGCGTCTACCCTCACCTTGCTTGTGGTATATGGGTGCCGGATAATCAGTTTTGAATTCTACGGAATAATTGACTTCAACGGCAACGAAAACAAGAGGGACGCAAAACGAAACCGTAATCTAGCAATACGAATTGAGATTACTTCTAAATAACTGAGGGAAAAATATAAAACCAGTGTGTAAACGAATAATTAGCAAGTGGCAATACAAAATGGCTGGTTAACATGGATGAGGACGATGCCGAAATGCATTATCCAGCAAACAACCTCTAGAGCGCCAGACCATTTCGGTTCAGAACTAGTATTCCAGATACCTAAGAATACAAAAGCATGCTTTAGTCAAGTTTATAGAGGATTTTTGAAGCCCAACGCCGTGCGGATAACTAGAAACCCTCACATCAGAAGTTCTTATTGGGATTTAAAGAATTCGTGAACCACCGTATCTTGAAGATAATCACTCTTGCCATCCTACCTTGCAGAATAACTTGAAAGTAGATAGAAGCACATGAGCTACTTTCGACTACAGGACAACGATATTAACTTTGAGGATTTGTTCGGAAAACGACTACGGATCCACTCTGAATTCATTTCACTTCGTGAAAAACTGTGGAGGCACTAACAGACAGCTTCAAACTTTCTCTAGACGATTGCTAAGTTATGAAGAGCTTCCCGAAATAGATGGCAGTCTAAAATTGGGGAATGTACTTCGTGATACGAGGTTGAAACAAGAGGCCAGCGTTGATCAATTAGGAGTTAATGGGTTCATCAGATTTGTTGCATGTTGTTTGTTTACTGCTACTTAATTACCTCAAAGGCTTTTGACTTTCCTTTCACATCTACATTGCTTTTCTTTAGCTCGTCTCGACCATACTTTGTTGTTTAAACAGGACAGTTAAGAGGCTAAGGGTGTTGAGCTTCACGGATAGTACGAAGTATATTAACGCAAGATTTAATAACCACAGCTTCTATGGTATTCTTTCCGCGCAGACCAAAGGCAAAGCAAAACAATACAATAGATCATTCGAATTTAGAGTTAAATTTCGGGACCAAATCAGAGTGCGAGTTGATGGCTTAACTGGCTAGGTTTCGTGCACGAACGAACGTAACACGACGGCGTGCTATATGGCGTGGATGCTTGACCGGAAGCCTTCAGCTAAAAAATTGACTAAAACTGTGAGGATCAGCATCTAATGTTTAGTGATGAATGCTGTGGCCAATAATTCTGGGGGATTACCTGCCACTACAACAATAATGCAATCTTCCTACTGTGCATCAGAAAAATAACGGCTACCTGAATGCCGAATAGGAAATCACTTCAGTGATGAATAGGCATTGATGATGTTCACTTAAATTTACACAACTTGCATTTAATATGTGTTACATATTTGACACCACTGGGAAGTGGTAAAAAAGATTATCCATACAGCAATCTCGGATACCGTCCCTTTAGTCACAACACAGCCTAAGAGAAAGACGTCATGGTTGAAGAGAGGCACGCAACGTATTCTGCAAGCAAAGCGGAAGGCTTGGTTTACGTGGCGTGTATCTAAGAGTCAGACCGACCATGATGCATACCTCGAACTCAGGAACCGGTGTAATGCAAGAGTCAGGAGGGACAGAAGGTCATTCCAGGCTAACCTTGCTAAAAAACTCCTATCAAACCCTAAAAACTTGTACCGATTCATGTCGGAAAGAAAACCGACAAACCAAGGGGCATGCGCCTTAGTAGGCCCAAACGGTCAATATCTCACTAGTCTGGAGATGGCTGAAACATTCAGTTCAGCCTTCGCTAAACAGCTAAACAGCAATGTGGATATTACAGTTACGGACCAAAATGGTGGCACCACTATTTCAGAGGAGGAAGACCTAGCGACTACTCCCCAAATAAACCCCGCAATAGTACTAAGGAAGCTACAGCGACTCATACCTGGGAAGTCCCCAGGTTGTGATGACATCAGGCCATCTGTTCTGAAACAGTGCGCCGAGGCTCTCTGTAGACCCCTGTGCGACTTGTTCCAACACTCAATGGATTCGGGGACCCTGCCAAGGGAGTGGAAAAGAGCCATCCTTTCTCCAATCTTCAAGGGTGGGGACAGGCAAAACGCTGCTAGCTATAGACCAGTAGCTCTACTCCCAGTGGTATCAAAAGTACTGGAAAGTATTATTGACGACCACATCAGGGAATATTTCGATAGGACTAATATACTACATGAAGCCCAACATGGTTTCAGAAAAGGCAGATCCTGCGTCACTAACCTACTGTCAGCTTGGGACGACTGGACATCATGCTGGGACTTGAACGTACCAGTCCATGTGGTCTTCCTAGACTTTGAGAAGGCATTTGACACTGTTCACCATGACCTTCTCCTACATAAAATAAGCCAGGCAGGCATAGGTGAGCCACTTCTGTCATGGTTGAAGGACTACCTAGCCGACAGGCAATTTTGCACTAAGGTTAACCGAGTCCGATCATCTTGGCACAGATCGTCATCAGGAGTGTCGCAGGGTTCTATCCTAGGACCACTGATGTTTTTGATTTTCATCAATGATCTACCACGCCGTCTGAGCTGCCCGACTCTCCTGTACGCTGACGACGTAAAAATATGGAGGGCGATAAAGTGTCCGGAGGACTCAGATAGGCTACAGGAAGACCTAAACCTTCTGGAAGACTGGGCGGTGGCCAGTGGCATGACTTTCAACTTGAAAAAGTGCAAAGTAGTGAAGTTGCGCACCTGTAGACTGCAGAATGCAAGTTACACCCTGTGCAATGAAAGCTTGTCCTGCACAACGTCGGAACGCGACTTAGGTCTAGTTCTAACGGAAAAAATGGACACAAGCGTAAATTACACAGGGGATGTAGCGAGGGCATATGCGGTCATACACTTTACGCATAGACAGTTAGGTGCACTCACTCCTGAGCTCTTTCTAATGTTGTACAAAACATACGTCAGGCCACACCTTGAGGTGCATAATATTATTGCACCCCCAATGCTGAGAAGAGATGCCAACCTCTTGGAAAGAGTCCAACGACGGGCAACAAAAGGAGTGGTTGGTCTCCGAAACAAACCATATGATGAAAGGCTGAAGAAATTAGGCCTGTTCACACTTAGTTACCGTCGGCTTAGGGGGGATTTGATTACTGCCTACAAAATAACAAATGACCAGAATCACCCAAACAAAGGTGTTCTGCCATTGAGTAGGTATAGGCTTCCACGTGGAAATCCCAGAAGGATAGCTCACCAGAGGGCAAGGACCCGGGTGCGCTCCCACTTCTTTTCACTGCGGGTTTGTCGTCCCTGGAATTCCTTACCGGCAGATGTAGCTATGGCACCGTCTTTGGACGCCTTTAAGCGAAGGCTGGACAACCATGCAGCGATACAAGGACTGCATCCAAATGGCCTATCTCCTTAAAATCGCATTTACCAATCAGGGTAGATAATTAAACTCGTCATTTTACTTCTTTACATTCTCTCCCGTCTTACTCTCCTGACAACTTATTAATATTATAATTACTATTATTATTATTATTATTACTATTACCGATATATATATTATTCTTCAAACTTAATGAGCTGACTGTTGTTACGTTTCCTATTTTCGTTTCTGTCTCTTAGTCTGAATAGCTTCACTAATTATATCTATTATTATTACTATTATTATTATTACTATCTCTTTTCTCTTGTCGACAATACCGAAGGACTAACTGGCGAAAGGATCAACTCCAATCACAGTAGTAACAGTCTTAACATACCTCATACTACAAACCACATATAATTAATCCCAGCACTACTCCCTTTGGAGTCAACCAAAGCTACGACAGTCGAGTGGCGGGACAAGCTACGCAGAAGTTTACCGAAGATCAAGAACCTATACCTCACAATCAAGAAGCGAGCACAAAGAAATCAAATTGGTTTATACTAGCTCGTAAAAACGATATTGGATATTGGACACTTAAGTTTGAAAGCGCATGTTTTGCCTTCGACGCTACTTCTACAATGTTTGAGTCCAGAGACTACGTTTCGGATTATGAGTCCGAAACTAACAGCAATCTTGATACAAATAGTGAGATAAGGTTGTTTGCTTTTTGTGTTTTTGTAAAATGCCTATTGTCCACTAAAATTGTGGTAGCCGATCCGATATACCTCCGTCTAAGGATAAGGAGCTTTGGGAAAAACCTACTACAGCTAGGTTTCCGGCCTATGCTAATCCGAAGTCTGTTTTGGATGCAGAAAACAAAAGGTATAGCATGAATAATAATTACTCTATCTCTTTAGAGCTTACAATTCTGTTGTTCGACATCATCTATTGAATCTCAATGCTGTATCCTTTGATAAAGATTTTGTATCTGTGTTTGTGTACATGCTACATGCATTTAGTCTCGCCATTTCTATAGGCTCTAAGAACTAGGCTGGTGAGCCGCAGATTATACACTCATAACCAAGAGTACACGATATCTGTAAAGATGAATGTTCACCAGCGCTGTTCACTGACCACTGAGTTAGTTGCATCTGCTGCTTCTGACTACTTAAACACATTGGCGAATTTTATGCTGAAGTTACTGAAGGCACCTATGGTTTTTATTCCCTATTTTAAACGAATATATGCGGCCTATATTACATTTTCAAATCGTGGAAAATACCCATCAGACATAAGAGGGAAAACAACAAGAAGTTCATCAAATATATCTCTTCGGCGATTTCATTCTCAAAAGCTGTACAATCGCATTTATATACATTAGTTCGCATGGATACAATCATTATTTTTTAATTGAGACAATGTAACGAAGGTGATAATTTTCAACTTGATATGAAAGCTTGAAGGTACGAATATAGATTACAAGGGGCTTAGAGACAAGATTGAATAGGATTAGAAAACAGTTACAACACTGACAAAACTAATATTTGACCACTGGAGAGATAATTTTAAAGGCGTATAAAAGGTGATTATTATTTTCAAATTGATATCAATTACAAGAGGCTTAGAAACAAAAAATACGCAGAGATAGAACGAATTACAGGTGTGAACAAGATGATCATGTATCCATTTAAACCACTGTATATAAATGCGATTGTATAGCTTTTGAGCATGATATCTCCGAAAAGATATCTTTGCTGAACTTCTTGTTCTTTTCTTTCTAATATATTACATTGACCATAATGTGGCATATAGACAGAATATTCTTTATAAATAACTGATATTCCGCTAATAAGGTATCTGGGACGCATATATCACACTAAATGATAAAATATAATCACATAAACATAGTTTAAAACAGAGTGGAGACTCAAATGTACCTCCATCGCTGGCATTATCACATATCTCTGCTGTCATACTCGTAAGTGTATTATCTCCCTATAAACCTGTCAGCTAGACACATCTGGTAAAAGGTATCTGCGTGTGATTTTATACAAACGTGATGGGTGTTGTTCAGTACTGTCATCATTTAGTTCATTTCTGGCTGCGTACGACTCATTATTCAGAATTGCATAGGTGTCTGTCGACGAGCATTGCTATATTTGAATTTGCCAACTCACTCCCTCTTGTTATTATCGCAAGATAATCATTTAATAGAATGTATAGTAGATGCCCCAAGGTAATTCGAAAAGTAATCTTTAGAGTGCCTATTCTCTAAATCTCTTGGCATATTTTAGATTGTTATTTTTCGATTTAATGTATGTGAGACTTACCGTTTTGCAGCATTGAAATACAGTTGACTATCTTACTCTACGATGTACTTCCGACTTTTTTTCATTCTTTTACCTTCCCAGTGGGACGTAGGGCTTGAAGCTAGAGGCTTGAAGTTACTGTAGCAGTGGTGAGTATTTTCACAGGATGGGATTGCTAGCCTCATGCCCAAACTTCCCTCTTTACTAGTCTAATTACTAGCTTAGCGAGGTAAAGGAATTCCTTGTCGGCTGGGGATTGAACCCCGAACCACCTGCGTGGTTGGCGAGCACATTACCGCTGTGCCACTGACGCACAAATACTTCTGAAATGGTCGCTACTTATTGATTTAGTCTACTGAACCCGAATATTTGTGTTGAGTTTTACTTCTTGGTTACTCGTCTTTCGGTGTCGTCAATTCGGAAGTTTTGCGAACATCTTTTATGTGATCCTTTCACTTCTCAAGAGGAAGAAATTCCTGCGTTTCATTATCGTCAAATTATTTTGCATAAACTAATATTGATGTCACTATCAATTTTAAAAATCCTCAGGCTATCTACTCCTGAGATAAAAGAAAGTTATGCAAACATTTTACGTAGCAGTTTTCAGATTCTGAATTTGAACTTTATGCATGTAGATATATCCATGTTCGTTTGTACATTTTCTGATAATATTTCAGCGTCTGCAGTATCATCACATTTAGCCTGTGTGTATGATGCAGGAATAATATTTGCAGTGTTAGTATAAGAAACCATCACTTAGTGAGCGATTTTGCTAGACATAAGGAATGCTGATAAAATAATTGTCTGGATTACGCTGTATGCTAGTATGTTTGTCTGTTTTCAGCATAGAACTTTGCACCGATGTGCACCATTTCAAATCGCCACACTCCATGTAACATACAAAGCAAGAGAAGAAAGTAAAAAGAAATGTAAAATAGGGACAGTAAACAGAGATATGAAGCAATAAAGGATAGTAATATCGAAGAACAATATAGTTTTATTAGGTATTATAAGTCACAAGGAGTGGATGCATCTGTGCCAGTCATTAAGAACGATTTTGAGCTAGCCATATCACCAATTGTCAACAGTCATCATTGGGTTTTACCAATCCGAGAACCCCAACCAGCCAAGAAGCCTACACCTCCCTACATAATTGGCCTAAACTAACTGTTGTGGATTTCATTGACTGATGAAGCCATGTTTTGGTTTGACCATCACTGGCTCTTTGCCAATCTGACCCTATGTCAGCTAACAATGCCTGTCGTTGAGGAAGGTGATGGCTTGGTGTGCATGCTTAGCGCATGTCCTAACCATCTCAGTCTGTGTAGCTTCACAGCCTCGTCTGTTGACTTCGCTTCCTTACCTCGCATTCGATGCCTAACCTCATTTTCGCTCACCATATTTTACCACTACTTCACACGAGAGGTAGAATGCAGGCACTTATAATCAAAGGCAGCTAGTCTTTTCATGTCCTCCACTTTCAATGACCAGGTCTCACTCACATCCATAAAGGAGGACGGAGCGGACTGCTGAGCATGTTAGTAAGTGGGTTTCGAATGACAAAAATTAGTGTTTGTTCTAAAAGAGGCTATGTTAACATCACTTCCTTGGGACGCGACCACTTGGCTTTAAAAGCATAAAGTATATTTGTAAGCTTTTATTTGGCCCAGATATTAATTGACATACGGGATGTTTGCTATTTCATTTAAGGAAATTCATACTAATGTTAGTTCAAACAGTTTATATGATTACAGTTGTATTCAGTATATTTAGATTAGTTACGTCCTCATTGTTTTTCTTTTTACTGTTCTTTTGGTTATTGGAAGTTTTGAATGTTTCGAAATGTATAAATTCAATTGTCAGTTTTCTTTGTAGTTCAGAAGTCAGGCATTTGTTTAGATTTATTTGGGAATCCTCTTTGTTCCTAATTCTTAAAATTCTTTCATACCCTGTGCTTGTCTGTTATTTTGTAAGATAATATGGGAGATGGATTCATGCTGTTAAGCAAATAAGTATCGGAGTTGGTCGTTGGGCAAAAGGTAAATGTAATTAAACAACTTATTGCATAGTTGTCTATTGCAATATAAATCGTACTCATAAATCTCAGCTCGAATACATAAGGCATATGTCAGTTTTCGCCGTCTCTGGCGTAGACGTGGCATCCGGCTGGCTGTCTACCAAAGGGCGTGTGTATTGCACAGTGACAGTCCGCTTTGTCCTCTTATATGGATATGAGTGAAACCTGGCCATTGGGAGTGGAAAACATGAAGCGCCTAGCCAGCTGCCTTTGATCTCGTGTGAGTCTCTGTAATCTTTCATATTCCTTTCTACCACTACCCATTCTGTTTCACTCTTATACTTGTCAAACTCTATTGATTCTGTCTTTGCTCACCTTGTCTACCTCTGTGTGCTATTTGGAACGTGGCAACTCGAACTGGTGCACTTCGGTGCGAAGTTCTATGTTGAATACAGACAGATCTCGTGTGAAGTGGTATAGTATGGTAAGCAATATTGAGATGTCGAGTGCTAGGTAATGATGGAAATCAATGGACAAGGTTGTGAAGTTATACTGATTGAGATGGTTAGGACATGTATTACGCATGCACGCCAAGCCATCACCTTCCTCAACGACAGGCAATGTTACCTGACATAGGGTCAGATTGGCAAAGAGCCAGTGGTGGTCAAACCAAAACATGGCTTCATCAGTCAATAAAATGAACAACAGTTAGTTTAAGCCAATTATGTAGGGAGTTATAGACTTCCTGGCTGGTTGGGTCCTCGGGACGGTAAAAGCCAATGAAGACTACAGACAATCGGTGATATGGTTCAAACTGATCGTTCTCCATGACCGGTGCAGATGCATCTCCTCTTTTTTGCTTATAATACCCAATAAAACTATATTGTTCTTCAATATCACTATTCTCTTTGCCTCAGATCTCTGTTTGCTGTCACTATTTTGTATTTCTTTTTACTTTCTACATCGAGGGAGAGTGTACAATCGAAATGCTGCACATCGTTGCAAAGTTCTATGTTGAAACCAAGCAGTCAGTGTAATCATAATATACTACAGTTTATAGTAATATTTAGTTAGAGGAAGTTAAATGGATTCAAATTTAGTGGGGTTTTACCTTGCCAAAACCTTAAATCAAAAAGCCACAGGGCATAAGAAACTATAATCTTTAAGCAGAATCACGGGTAGTTTTAACATTAGGAGGTTGTCTTTTGCACCTGCACGTAGATCTCAATTTGTTTTAAACATCCTGTTCATGATACTTTTAGATTGCATATTACTACTAATTTTTTATGTATTGTTGTCTAAAATGCTGTCGGTATATTAGAAAAGTGTCTGTTTTTGCAATATCCTTAACCTGAATCCCAATAGTTTGATCGTCATAAAAAGTTAGTGAATGATTATTTACAATATTATGGTGGCTCATGGAGAGATTTCAAACGTGACACGTAAATTCTCTATTTCTGGTTGGATGTTGGAATATAATTCGGGTTTTTATGTAGTTCAAAAGATAAAACAGACGTTGATGTCATAAGGGAACATGGAAGATTTTTGTGGTCAGAAGAAGATGAACCATTGTCATGGTAAGTTAATTATAATGTGTTAAATATTTCACAGTTTCTTTATTTATCAATCACTACTAAGCAGAACTCCTTGTGAAACACGATGACTTAGTTTTAAGTGAACGACTGGACGCTAACTCGATTTTGTGTATCCTTACACCGTGATCTTAACATAGATAATCTTTTTAGACTTCGTCGATGCATTTTGGATATATACCCTCGTGGAATAAAAACGGACACGTATATGAGGGTTTCAGTGTGCGACCTAGTTGTCCAACTCAGAGTGGTTGAAAGGGGGTTTGAACTGATAAGTTATTGGCTACTATGTTCAAGTGTTTGAAGGAGGGAGTCACAGGTCCACAAAACCTTTTTAAAAATGTGATGAGATATCTGCTTACTTATTAAAATGTCATCATTAGTAGACCAACTGAGTTCAAACATTGAACTTAGCACATAAGTGTAACAGTCCAAGTTGCCAGACTGCATGTAGCACACAGAGGTAGCCGAAAGCAAGAATAAAAGAGCGGTTCAAAAGAACTATGATGGACACAAATGTGTAGAAGATAAATTGATAGCACGGGAAAGCATGAGGGTTTAGTGGCTCCCTCAAAGTGGGCCTTGCAGTCAATTTCATATATCCTCGATTAGCTAAGTCTTCTTTGAATGGGAATTCAGTGCCTTCGTCAAGTTAGGAGCATATCGGTTTCATTTCTGTTTACCCTCTGTGTTCGTTCAATAGTGGGCGTCTACTTGCACGGAATAAATTGTGTTCGGAGTCTACACAAATGTTGTTCCAGATGGATCGACAGTCTTCTAAAAACCTTCCAGAGATAGCTTATCTCTGTGGTTTATTTAAGTCCATCGTTGATTTGGTAGTGGAGATCGATCGCCAGGTAAGGCGGTGTCACTCCTTATGTTCTAGATTAGTGCTGACCAGGAGGAGGTGAGTATCTGAACAGAATTGTAGAAGATAATGATCATTATCGGTTAGTCTGCATGGCATTCCGTAGATACCGCTAATATACTGGCACATTTAGCCTAATTGAGCATTGAAGCCGCCTACTAGAGAGACTGTCTCTGAGTGTTTGTTCTCAGAAGCAAACTAGATAACTTTTTATAGAACTCATTCCTTAATTCGTTCGAATTGCAGTCGATTGCTGGGGGGGGGGGTGTAACTGGAGATTATGAAAAGATATCACGAAAAGTAAAGCTTTAGTTCTGTTGTAAGCAGATTCACATTATTTTGAAGTGGTGATCAGATATCGTCAGTAAGTAGTTATTCTCTTCCATGCATGAAATTACCTTAGATTAATAGATCCTAACGGAATAATCTCATATATTTACAAACCTATTTGCCTAACGCATGAAAGTGGACCTCATTTTGTTTTACAGCACAAGATTAATGTTGGTTACAGGATTTCATCATGAGCTGATATTAGTTAGAGAACCATTGGAGAATCTGGGAGTACTGGACAGCTGTTTCATCCTATTTTGGGACTCTTCAGCAGTATGCAGCGACCGGGGTTCGAACCCAGGATCTTCTGATTACAAGGCTACAACGTCAGCTCATGATGAAATCCTGTAACCAACCAAATCCCGACAAATCAACACTTGAATATCGATGAGATGCTCAGTAGCGACTTGCCGTATTCAGGTAGGTAGTTACCTGGGGTTCTAGTGAGAAGTCGTGACCAGTAGGGTGCAGCAGGTCGGGTGTGAGGACAAATACTTGCTGAAGACATTGGCTAGGGGTCGCGCTATGTCATGAATTGGCAGAAGTTAGAATTCATGGACAGGCTAGCCATTGGATCGGGTCACAGTGGCTTAATGGTCTACTAGTCAGCTGGCCTTGTAACCAGAAGGTCCTGGGTTCGAACCCGTGGTGTGGGTTCGTACTGATGAAGAGGCCCAAACTAGGACGAAACAGTTGTCCAGTACTCCCAGCTGGTTTTCCAATGGTTCTTTAACCAATGTCAGCTCATGATGAAATCCTGTAACCAACCAACCAAACCAACACTTAAATAATGTTAATGTTTTGAACATTTATGCTTTATCTATTTAATGGTGGACTAATACGACTGTCTCATCCTAGTTTGGAACTCATCGGCAGTACACAACCACTGGGATTCAAACCCAGGACCTTCCGCTTACAAGGCAAGCTCGTCGTCTACTCAGCCGAGTTCTAGGTAAGGAAGGGAAATCAATCGACGAGGCTGTGAAGTTACATCGATTGAGATGGTTAAGACATGTGTTACGTATGCCTGGTCATCGCTTTCCTCGACAACAGGCAATGTTAGCTGACATAGGGTCAAGCTGGAAAAGAGCTAGCGGCGGTCGAACCAAAACATGGCACCAGTCCATGAAATCCACAACAGTTAGTTTAAGCCACGTTGGGAGGTGTAGACTTCCTGACTGGTTGGGGTCCTCGAGACGGTAAGAACTAATGGTTGGAAACAATTGGTGATATGGCTCAAAATCGTTGTCAATCGCTGGTGCAGATGCATCTACTCCTTGTGACTTATGATTTCCAATGAAACTGTTTTGTTCTTCGTTATCACTATTCCTTTGTTTCACACCTTTGTTTACTGTCTCCAGTATGCATTTCTACTTTCTTGTCTTGGTTTGTGTGGTACATGGAGGGAGTGTGACGACTTGAACTGTCGCACATATGTGCAAAGTTCTATGTCGAAAACAGACAGATAGGCAGACGTTACTGTATGAAAGCTTATGATAAGTAACAATCGAATAAATGAGCACCATACTCACTCTCAACGTCAGATAGTAGTTATCCGTGTGAAAATATTCAGTATTAAATCTTTTTTGTAATTTTACAGTAGTTTATACCGATAACCATACGTGTGTGTAACAGACTTTATAACTTAATTACGATCTTATTAAACTTGTGTAGGTTAATACTGACTAGTTAAATTGGCAGGAGCCTGTATCTGCACTCATCCTAGCAGGCAAAGTTGTCGGCAACTTCATGTAATCGAGGCAGTTATTTTGGTGCTGACAGGTGTGTGTGTGTGTGACATATCTCTCTAGTTTGGCATACGCCAATTTTGGGCATCTCTGGCTTCGTCTCGACATCAGCCTGACTGTCAAAGGTCGGCTTTACTATGCCTCAGTGGTCATAGTCTTGCAATACGATTGTGGAGCAATGACCTTTCTGAACTGATGATGTATTGCAACTCTGCCAACCCGATCGTTGCTGTGTACGATGGTATCATTGTGTAAGTAATTCTAAGGCCTTGACTTGCAATGTGTGTTCGGATACAGTGGAGGTCACATTTTAATTGAGGGTGGTCATCTTGGAACACTGGCTTCTGTGTCTTGAACATATATCATAAATGCTGTCCTAGAGGTTTCCACACCGTCCGCTGTTCGCTACCTTAATGACTAAATGGAAGAAGCGGACAGTTTGTCAGTCTATAACGTAGCGCCGTGGAGAGACAAATAAATGTGTTAGGTTAACATCCGTCGAGACGTCACGACTACCTGGGTGAAGCAGTCCCCGCTTTCCTTGTATATTGATGTTTTATTTTTGTGTGCAGCACGTCTCTTGATGCGCATGTTGTAGCAAGTCTGTTTGCAATACCATATTAGTTTTTTTTATTAGATGTATCACAGTGATGAAACAGTATTATTTACTGGATGACAGGTTTCGAACACAATTTATTGTTCATAATCATATCAATTATAATCACACGACTTTGAAACTTGAGTTTCATAGTTTTCTTTGTCTTCTCCTATTTGTCGTCGTTGGGGTAGTAGAATTTTCCAGATATCTGGCTGGACAGGTGTTGAATCGTTCCTATTACACGTGTTGGTTTGCAGTTGATTCGATAAACAAGGCCTCTGTTATCAACCTCTCCTTATACCCTGTGACATTCGATTTTTTAAACTGTTGTCTACCATCCTATTGTATGGTCGTGTGTAACTGCATGAAGTGAGTGGTATAGCGGAACTATTCTCTAGATTTCTTATGTTATTCGGGTCAAGTAATCTAGATTTCGCTGCTAGGTTATTATGCTCAGCTAGTCTCACTGACTGTCCCTGTTCTACTAGTTTGACCCATCTATGTATTTGACCTGACAATCATTGTTGGCAGGGTATTAGATAAACTAAATTGTTTCGTTCTAAAGGCTCCACTGGCAGGATCCTTTAACCGACAAAGCTAACTTCTAATTGAGTTTGTATGTTTAAATGCGAACCACTTTTATTCCTGCCTGTATTGTTAAGAATTCTGCGTAAGGTGGTTTCCGAGGTTCCTTCCTTGTATGGAATTACTACTGATGATTTGGATTCCTTATTGTTAGTGTTGTCATTATCTTGTGCATGTTTGACATGCATGTCGTCATTAATATTATTATTATTATATCATCACTATTACTACTATGATTATCTGTTTTGTTTTTACATTTCCCTACATATTTCCTTACTAATTTTTCAGGGTAATTATTAGGTTTCAAGGCTTCCTTTATTTGTATCACTTCTTGTCTTAGATTTTCCTTGGTACTACTTAGTTTTTGTGCTCTGTCATCGCTTAAACATTTCACCAATAATAATAATTTGCAATAATAATAGTAATAGTAATGCTATTGAAATGTTAAATGGTTGTACATAGTAGGGTAGTAATAGTTTTGAATAGCTTTCTGTTCTTTCAACGATTTCCTCTCTTCTTCCTCCTCATAATAGGTCTGAACGTCTTGCTAAAAAGTATTGGGAAAAATTATTTAAAGAATACTGTCTTGTCGATTTATCACGCTACAAGGAAAATAAAGTACGTTCTAACCATAAACTTACATATATGTGCATATATCTACTTTTCTTTTGATATAACCATTTTTTTCCCATCACGTTTCCCACTGGAGCATAGGGCTTCAAGCTAGTGGTCTGAAGTTTCTGTAGCAGTGTTTATTTTACAGGATGGGGTTGCTAGCTAGCCTCATGCCCAACCTTTCCTCTTTACCAGCATTATTTCTGGCTTAGCGAGGTAAAAGAGTGCGTTGGCGGTCGGGGATCGAACCTCGGACCATGTGCATGGTCGGCGAGAGTCCTAACCGCTATGCCACTGACGCACGATATAACCATAAAAGATGTTAGTGCATTTAATTAACTTAATGTGTATCGTTTGTGTGGTATTCTTTCGTGTAAATAATATACCAATATCAAGTCAAAATATGTGTCATAGAGATTTGTTGTGCAACTCGTTGGATAGATTTCATGTGTCATTGAATTTTGCACCCCAGTAGCTGGATGTTCAACGAGTTGACGTCAAAAAATTGTGGATGTCTTCGGTTCAATCTCATATATGATTATGCTGCTTGTTCCCTTACACCCTGGTTTACAATGGTTTCCTAATTTAAGTCATTTTGTGACCACGTAGGAGATCATTTAACAAAGAGAAAGTATTATTATTATTATTAATACTGTCCCTTGGGTTCCGAGTGGAACATAGGGCTTCAACAACACATCTCTACTTCGCTCTCTTTTCTGCCGTCCTCTTCAGTTGGCTGAGTCCACGATTGTCCATTATCTCGCATCTCTTCCATGTCACCCTAGAATGACCTACTCGTCGCCCCCCCACTTGGATTCTACTCAAGGGCCTGGCGTATGATGTCATTCGATGGTTTTCTTAATGTATACCTGATCCATTGGCATTTTCTCCTTCATATTCGTTGAGCTACAGGCTCTTGGCTAGTTTGTTTCCAGAATTTCTCGTTACTAATTGTTTCTGGCCATTTGATCTTCAGTATGGAGCCAGCCAGAGAAGTGGGCAGCTGTTGATGAAAGTCTGCGACAGACTGTTGGAAATTTCTTTTTCGTGACACACCAAGTTTCTGACCCGTATAGAAGGAGGACCGACTTGACATTAGTGTTGAAAACCCGAATCTTGTTCTTTGTGCTGGCAGAGTGAGTGCAGAAGACTTCCAAACTGGTTTCAGGTTGATGAAGGCGTATCTCACCTTTCCGATTCTAAGTGGCTTTGACGTCTTCGTCCGTTCTGACTGCCTGTGGTTGAAACGATGCTTCCTGGTTGGATAAATGAAGAAGGTAACCTCTGTTGAATCTCTCCCGTTGATGGCGATTGGTACTGATCGTTGTTGACTGTCTCGCTGTATACCTGTTAAACCCGGCCTCTCCAATGTTAGGATATGTGGCGACTCTGATTATTTCATCATCGCCGTCTCCACAGGATTGCTTGCGTTCTATGGCATCATCGTGTGAGTAATTGTGAGGTCAGGTAGCGTGTGTTTGGATACAGTGGATATCACCATTCGTTGATTGTTGTCATCCGGAAACAGTGTCTCCAGTGGCTTGGACGTGTGTTACGAATGTCATCCCAGAGGTTTCCGTACCGGTCTATGTTTGCTAGCTTGGGATGCGATGGAGAAAGCGGAGATTTAGTCAGCCCATAATGTGAACTCGTGAGATGAAGGATATTTGTGTTAAGTTTGCATCGTTTGGCTCATCACGACTCCTTGGTTGAGGTCCGAGAGACGGCAGCCCGAATTATTATCGGATATGGCCAAGAATCGCAGTCATTAATGGCGAACATGCTGCAATTTCTTTCTTTCTTCCCTTTCCGACGAGAAGGGGGGGGGTTAATTAGAAAAAGTCTACGCCAAAAGTTATACATCCCGACTTAAATTGCGGTGGTCTGTAGCCGCCGGTAAGGTTTCAATACGGATGCAACTCCGAAAGCCACTTTAAACAATCCGTGTGTATCCTGTCTCAAGTAGTTATTCGCCGGGGATCTGCTTCTTCTGTTTTTACATGACTCAAGAAAGAATCGACTTTCGTAGTGTTTGTCAGCCGGCAAGTAGTAACCACCACACACTTCCATGGGCACACAAATCTTTCCTGGATATCTTTCACTTTCACCCGCATCACTTACATCATCTTACAAAGTATGTAAATGGCCCTCAATAAAAAATTATTATTGGTAGTGACTTTTAGAGTTCCTTAGATCTGGTAGGATGTATAAACAATTCAGATAACTTGAAATAATCCACATTTTGTAGTTTTGAAGAGATAAGCAACCCTATCAGCATAATTGTTATTTGATTGTTTACATTTTTTAATTTATTTTCAGTTTGGTATGAGATGGCGATTAGAAAAAGAAGTGATTTCTGGTAAAGGTATGTGTCTTACAAAACTGTATATATGTATAGTCCAACCTTTCCTCTTTACCGAACTTATTACCGACTAAGCGATGTTTTAGAAGTTCGTCGACAGGGGGGGGTAAATATGTATATATATACATATATCATTTACTGACTTGTAGGACATTGGCTGCATTAGTATGAGTTATAGACTATCAACTAGTGGGTTCTAGCTCTGTGGAAACCGCTTCACTAACCAAGGTTTGAGCAGTCAGGTGGCGTTACGTCATGCGGAAGGTTTGTTTGGCATTTGTCCGCCAACTTACACCATCTCTTGCATAGACGTGATGTCTGGCTGACTAGCGATCAAAGGATGTGTGTACTGCTCAGCAAAGCACTTGGCTCCGTCCTCCTTTATGGTAGTGAAACCTAGCCATTGGAAGTGAAAGACATGAAATGGCTAGCTGTCTTTGATCTCTCGTGTGAAGTGGTATAACGGGATGAGTAATGTCGAGGTTAGGTATCGAATGCTAGGTAAGGAGGGGAAATCAATCGACGAGGTTGTGAAGTTACACTGATTGAGATGGTTAGGATATGTATTACGTAAGCCTGGCCATCGCCTTCCTCGACTAACGGGCAGTGTTAGCTGATATAGGGTCAGGTTAGAAAAAAGCCAGTTGTGGTCAAACCAAAACATGGCTTCATCAGCCAATCAAATCCGTAACAGTTAGTTTAAGCCGACGGCGTAAGAACCAATGAAGCGAATAAATCTACTTAGTTAGGACTGTATTGTACTACTTAAATTATGTGATATAAGTGTGTATAGTTATTAAATCACTCTAAATTGGCACATTATGGGCACCAAGAGAGGCACAACACAAAATCTCAAAAGTTTGTCTGGAGGATGAAATACTTCCTGGACCCGAGGCAGATGGTTGTCTCAATAAGAGGTCATGATCCCCTCGAACCTTTGATTTGAAGCCTGATCATGACACAAGGCAGTGGAAGCAGCCTCATGAGCTGCGTTTCTGGTGACTGAAACTGGTTCACATATGCCATTTAATCCTTTCTGTTTCTGGAGCCTATGTACGCCACATAGGGGTTGTCAATCGAGGTTTTTCATCTCCACTGTGTAGATGTGTACACCTGGATGATCCACCAGTCTGGCTGTAGGCTCGAGACGTTCGGATTCACCTCGTAACTTTTGTGAGTAATACTGCCGCCGCTGACTTAAGGCTATGCATTGTACTGTATATATGTTAAATTAAAGTCTCTATTCTCTAGGCGTAAAATGAATCTAGTGTAAACTTGATACCAAATACTTCTGGTTGTGATTATCAACAGTCCCAACTTTGATATTTGTTTGTCTGTCAACAGTATTTTCATTAAATATTTTGCATCATATATATATATTTAGGTCAATTCGCTTGTGGAAATGTAGCCTGTCCAGCTGGTGCAGAACGTCTACGGAGTTGGGAAGTGAATTTTGTCTATCAAGAACGTGGGGAACGACGTAATGCTTTGGTGAAGATACGTTTATGTCCTGCTTGTTCTGATAAATTGAACTATCGGTATAAGTAAGTCTCTCGTTTAGAGATCTTTTCTTTGTTATTGCTGTTTTGAGAAATAATAATCATAATTTGGGTGAACCCCACTGTCAAGGTGTATTATTTTTAGTTTCAGTTGAAGTAATCATTTTGAGCACCTTTACCTTTTAGTATAGAGTGCAGATACTTCTGTCTTTTTTCGACATAGAACTTTGCACAAATGTGCAGCAGTTCAAGTCGCCACACTACCTCCATGTACCACACAAAGCAAGAGAAGAAAGTAGAAGAAATGCATAATAGAGACAGTAAACAGAGGTGTGAGACAAAGAAATAGTAATAACGAAGAACAATATAGTTTCATTGGAAATTACAAGTCACAAGGAGTGGATGCATCTGCGCCAGCCATTGACAACGATTTTGAGCTAGCTATATCACCAATTTTCTCCAGCTGTCATTGGTTTTTACCGTCCCAAGGACCGAAACCAGTCAGGAAGTCTACACCTCCCAACGTGACTTAAACTAACTGTTGTGGATTTCATTGACTGATAAAGCCATGTTTGGTTTGACCACCACTGGCTCTTTTCCAACTTGATTCTACATTGGCAGTCTACACTGACCATCGAGAAGGCGATGGCTAGGCATACGTAACACATGTCTTAACCATCTCAATCAGTGTAACTTCACAACCTCGTCGATTGATTTCTCCTCCTTACCTCACTAACACTCGACGCCTAACCTCAATATTGTTCACCCTATTATACCACTTCACACGCGAGATAGAGCGCAGGCACCTATGATCAAAGACAGCTAGTTAGCCTTTTCATGTCTTCCACTCTCCATGGCCGTGTCTCACTCACAGCCATAAAGGAGGACTGAGCGAAGTGTTTTGCTGAGCAGTACACTCACCTTTTGGTCGACAGCCAGCCAGCCGGATATCACGTCTACTAGTCCAGAGACGGAGTAAACTGGCACATGCGAAACTAGCCCTCTTTATCCATGTTGAGATTCCGTCAGAGATCAACCCGTTGGCACTGGCTGATGCAATTTCCCAAGTAAGTGAAGCGGTCAACGTGCTCTACCGCTTCACTTCCTATTTATAATCCAGGGGTTGGTGTAGTCCAGTCCTGTAACATCGTCTTGCATTTACTTACTTTTACTTTACTTCGGCTATCTCCTACGGGAGGATGAGCCGGCTTCATGAACGTCTCGAATCATCGCTGCCCAGGCGCGGCAATTTGTAAGAGAGTTCATGAAGTTTCATGGGAATTTGGTACGAGTGATGTCCCCAGAATCGCTCGGCCTTTTGTTTGAGAGTGCAGCTCTAGCCTTTACACAGCCAAGTGTGACCTACAAGGCAGTAGGAGTGGAGTAAGGAGTCCACTATCCATTGGCAGCCGGTGACCGGAGTTCGGTTCATACGCCTTTTTGAATGGGGCCAGACATCCAGGACATCCAACAAGCCCTTTGTCCATACGTCTGCCGGTGAGCTCCAGTGAGCTTCATACGCCAGTCGTTGGAGGTTTGGAATCAGGGTTTAGCCATCTCCCCTAGACCGTCATCCAATGGACAGTCAACCCGGTGGAGAGCGCCGGGCATCCGCTTTCGCCCTCTCACTTTGGTGAGAAACACCTCCGCCACGTGAAGGCAGTGAGTAGGACTTCCTCAGGAGAGGCTATGTAAGACGCCCGGTCATATGGGAGCATTTCAAGAGGTGTGCGGAGGGGTGGCCAACCCGCAGCGCAAGGCACCCACCCCCGACCATCCTGAGGCTTTGGAGGCTCGTCTTGCATTTGGCGGAAACGAATCGCATGCCAAACATTCGTAGATTGCAGCTCAAGGTGTTTAGAAGACTCTGCATTTTCTCAGCGTCCTCGCCTAGGAGGGAGGACTATATCGTCTGCATATTCTAAGTCAAAGAGATTATTCCCTGGTAGCAAATCAATCCCTGAGTCGCTGAAGTGAGTTAGGGTTAAGTCCATTAGTACATCTATTATGAGTTCATACGGAGTGATCATTAAATATAATTGCGTGATTTAAACAATAAGAAATTCAGAAGAGTTTAAACAGCATTTTAGTGGATGGAAATTTTATTAGCCCAGCGATTTAGGCAGACCGCCAATAAAATCCACCAAGTTTTTGACAGTTGGTTTGTGTCACTTCAGAAGATTTAAACTGTCTCGTGTTTTTGAGGTCTTCGAAACGCTAAGAATCAGTTGCATGAGACTGTTGGTTGATGATATGGCTCAAAATTGCTCTGAATGGCCTTCAAATATTTCCCCCCAACAAATATGCTCTTATTTCTATCATTTATCTACCTTTGTATGCTAAATGGAGTGTGGGAGAGTTGAACTGCCACACTTCTGTTCTGGAACTCAGTCATACTACATAATGTTTTGAAAGCTTAACCTGTTTTTAGTATTTTAAATTGTGTTACTATGCCTCCAATGTTCGATCCCCCTGGCCGTCGCATTCCCAGACCTCACTATACCGGTTGTAAAGTTAGTAAAAAGGAAGATTGGGCGTGAAGCTAGAAACCCCATCGCGTAAAGCTAAGAATATCACTGCTACCGAAACTTCAAAGCACTGCCTTGAAGCCCTATTTTCCACTCGGGTGTTAAAGGAATACAAAAAAATGCCTCAGTGGTTTTTTCAGTGCTAGAATTACTCACCAGCCAATCACATGGTTCAGGTTCTATTTCTGCCCTGTCCGACGTACGATTGTTACAATTTAAGTACGTCTTCAACCAGCTGTTTGCGTGGAACATTAACTTCCACGAATTTCCCTACCGAATCTGCTGTTACCTAACATTCTCCTTGAATATCAGTCCTCGTGTACGATATGATGGATCCTACCGGTCTCCAATAATATTGGAGAATCGTGGCTTTAACCTCGCGAATTAGTTAAATTAGGAAATCATTGGCTATATGCATGTAATGGCTCAATGATGTAGTATTCACCTCTTGATCTGAAGGTCCAGTGTTCGACTCCTAAGGAGATCATAATTGGATATTGTTACGAAATTCTAGACTGAAGCGGATGTAACACATATGCAAAGCTTCTCAAAAATACTCCTCTGTTTAATGTTAGCTGAAATCCTCCTTGAAACATTCTTTTAAATTAATTATACTACTAACAAGTAGTTGAAATTATTGTAGTTAATTTTTTATTGACACTTATTTGTATAAAACATATAGAGTGAGTTAGCAGTGTGTGCATATCTGTTGCGTTTATATCTGAACCGAAATTAATAATTCGTTAATTCTTCAATGATCATTCAATAATTAGTAGATTATGTTTTGTTTAACTTCATCATAGATGTACTCATGGAATGAAGCCCTAATTGACTTTAGCGACTTAGTTAACTGTCTTGTTTGTTATGCAGGAACAGTCCTGTTGAATTTAGATTTTGCAGATGATATTGTCCTACAAGGTGAAAACACTGAGGGAATTCAGAGTTTCCTGAACACTTTGAGCACAAATCTTGATATGTTTGGCATGCGAATTTCCTCTGTCAAATATAAGATGATGCCGCATGACTGGACTGAACCGAATCCTAGTACTAACGATAAGGAGTGAAGTGGTTGACTATATTGACGACTTCATTTATTTGAGAAGATGCATCAACCCTATTTGACTGATTACTGCTGACAAAATCTCAGTATTGATACAAGAGGCTGGTTTTGCACTCGCCATCTTACCTTATCTCTGACCTAGACATGATATCCGGTTGACTATCGATTAAAGGACGTGTGAATTGTGCACAGCATTCCTCTCTGTTCCCCTTTTATGTCTGTGAGACATGACCATTGAAAATAAAAGACGTGAAGAGGCTGGCTGTCTTTGATGACAGCTTTCTACGTTCTATTTCTCATGTTGAGTGATATAGTATGGTGAGGAACATTGAGGTTAGGGGTAGAATGATAGGTAAAGAAGATAAGCCAATTAAATGGGCCACTGGATTGGACCCCAGTGGATTAATAGTTTAAGAGCTCACCTTGTAACTGAATGATCCTTAGTTCGAACCCAGGTGGGTGTATACTGATGAAGAGTCCCGAACGGGGCTAGCGAAACAGCTGTCCAGTACTCCCTACTTTGTCAGTTGGTTTCAACCGGCCATGTAGGGGGAGGGGTGGTTGCAAACTGCCTGGTTTAGATGCTTGAGGTTCTAAAACTGAATAACTGAAGATCTTTCAGTGATCTGGCTCAAAGTCATTCACTTTTTGTAATCTCCTTTATCTATTAATTCCTCAAAAACTTTGAGGAAAATAAAAGACGTTTCAGTGAAGAGAATTCAACCTATCGACGAAATCATCTTCACAGGCTGTACAGTCGTATTTACATTTACCAAAAATGTATGGTAGTCTGTTATTGAGTAATATGGTGGGGTGGGTGGGTGGCATAATCGATATAATTACCCAGAAGTGGCTTTAGAAGTAAAACATAAAAGTTGTAAATTGCGTTGTACGTCGGTGGCACAGTGGTTAGGACTCTCGCCGACCATGCACATGGTCCGGGGTTCGAGCCCTCACCGACGCACACCTGATATCTATGGTCGGCCTGCGAACTTTGGGCTACCGATATCCACGCTGAAAATTCCATACTTGTACCAAAAATACGGTGTGGAATCAAGCTGTAATCAAAAATAACAAAATTGTACTCAACGGCACAAAGAAATTTGATAAGATTAAAATTGTTATAATGTGAGAAGAAAGGTAGTTGATTGGCAATTTAACAAGTGTGTCGAGAGGGTGTGAAAATGTACAAAAGGAAATTGTGAGAGGGATAAAAGTGAATTAATTATTAATTATTAAAGTAAAAACAAACTAGAAGTGGAATTAGAAATAAAAAATTAAATTTTTGTTTTGCAGGAAACGATTAATGAAGAGGTTGAGACTAAGGGAGAATAAGAGAATGGACAAAAGTTTCCTGTATACAGAGTTTGAGGTTGTATTGACGAATTTCCAGCGCCTCCGCCATACACCAAAATCCGAAACCTGTTGCCCTTTGTACCATTTAACCTCACTTTGTA